AGGCTGAGCCACCGAGCCCGGCTTTGAAATACTTTTTATTAATAAAAAGGAATGAATGATTAATACAAGAACCAACATGGATAAATCTCAAAGGCATTATGCTATGTGAAATCATACATACGTTATTTCATTTACATGACATTCTGGAAAAGATAAAATTACAGTAATTGAGAAGAAGTGAAGAAGAAGATAGAGAAGGGAGAGGGCAGATACTTTGTTTTGGTGAGGAAAGCAGGCATCAAGAATGTTTTCTGGCCGGGCGTAGTGGCTCATGCCTATAATCCCAGCACTTTGGGAGGTCAAGGTGAGAGAATTGCCTGAGCCTGTGGGTTTGAGACCAACCTGGGCAACTTGGAGAGACCTCATCTCTACAATAAATAAAAAAATTAGCTGGGCATGGTGGCACGTGCCTGTAGTGTTAGTTCTAGCTACTTGGAAGGCTGGAGTGGAAGGACTGTCTGAGCCCAGCAGGTCGAGGCTGTGGTAGCCGAGAGCGTGCCACTGCCCTCCAGCCTGGGTGACAGAATGAGACACCAACTCAACAAACAAATATATATATATATACATTTTTTTTTCCCTGAACAGTGATGCTTGAACAGAGTTCTAAAGAATAATTTAAAATTTACTGAGGTGAAAAAAAGGTTGATTCTGACAGAAGGATTTGTTTGTGCAAAGGCCCTGAGGCAGGAGGAAGATGGCTCTCATTGTCATCAAAAACTAGAGCACAGGGAGTGCAGTGTGCAGGTAGGGGGTGGGAGAGGCGGCAATGGGGGACAAAAGTCAAGACTAGAGTAAGAGTCAGATTGTGCTGGACTAAGGGTTTGCTCTAGGCAGGCTCAGGCAAGAGCCATGAGGTAGGTACAGCTAGCCTGGGAACTTAACTGGACTGTGGAACATCTCTGCTGGGAAAGTGTTAAAACAACTGACCTAAGAAAGAGAGCTTAGCTGTTCCACTTCAGGGAGAGAGCAAGGCAAAGAGACCCCTCCCATGGCCATGCTAGGCCTGGGATTATATTCTCAGTAGTCCTAGAGGGTCCATTAAGAATAGAGCTATAGTAAACATCCATGTGCAGGTTTTTATGTGAATGTAAGTTCTTATTCCTCTAGGATAACAACCAGGAGTGAGATTACTGGGTCATATGATAACTGTATGCTGAAATTCAAGTAGAAGCTGCCAAACCATTTTCCACAGCAATGTATGAGAGTTTCCAGTTGCCTCACATTTTTGTCAGCACTTAAAATTATCAGGATTTTTCCTTTTAGCCATTCTAAATGAGATCCCATAGGTGTGTAGTGGTATCTCATTGTGGTTTTAATGTGCAGTGCAGATCCTAAAGTGCCCTCTCCTGAGCCCTGTGCCTGGGTCAGGGAGACACTGACACCTGATTGATGCCCACTAAATGCTCCAAGGTTCTTGAAGACTTAGAAGAGTCCTGCTTTGACTGACTAGCCACAGGGCCCTGGTGATCTAGACATTTTCAGAAACACTTGCGACAAAAATCAGGTATTTTTCAGTTGGGCTGCAGATTTCCATGGCCTTACCATGACCCTTCCCCAGACCCGGGGCCCTCTCCCCCTGTCCAGGTCTCAGGGACTGACACAGACCAAACTGATAAGCTGTCAGCTGGCCATTGAAAGGAAGTCTATACTGAATCATCCTTTGCAAAGTGAACCATCCCAGAACCTGAGCTGAGGAGTAATAAGGGCCCAGGGTCCGCTCAGTGGACATGTTAAAGGCTGGGCAGACAGAGGGTATGTAGGCAGTATTACTGCCCCATCTCAGAGATGAAGAAACTGAGGCTCAGCTAGAGCGGGACAGAGCCAAGATTTGGATCCAGGACCGCCCAACATCCATGTCCTGGCCCACTGACGCCCAAACCTTAGTATTTGGGTCACCAGATGGATATTCACCAAAAAACGCAGATTCCCAGGCCCCTAGAGCGTCTGACTCACTGGGCCTGGGTCCAAGCTGGGGAATCTGCATTCCACAAACACCGCAGGTAACTCTAAATCGGGCGACCCCAAGGGTCCCATTGGGCTCAACCTCCCTCTCTAACGCAGGGACCTTGACGCCGTCCCAGGGTCTCAGGTAGCAGAGGTTGGGGGAAGGGCTGGGCCCAATCTGAAGAGATGGGGGGATTTTGCAGATGACCTGAAGCCCGGGAGGAAGTGCAAGACCGCAGGGCGCTTGGGAAGGCGGTGCCTCGGATGACCGGCGCGGATCCGCGGCCG